TACAAGACACGAAAATACTAATAGAAAACCTGAAGAGTTCTTAGAAACACTAAAACTGAAACTAGCACTCAAAGCTCACATACTCAAACGATACAAAAAAAGCACAACAACGCAAGAACGATAATATCATATTTGCCACTAATGAAAAACTATTTTATAGAAACTTAGGGAACCCACAGACTGACACCGAAGTCAGGAATGTAGAAACTCCAACATCAGAATAGTTAAACGAATTTTGGTCTGGTATATGGGAAAAACAGGTACCACATAATGAGAATGCCATCTGCATAACTGAAGAAGACCAGAGATGGAGTACAATAGAAGAAATGGAATTTACTGAGATAACAGAAGATGAGATCCGAAATATTACAGATAGATTACATAACTGGAAATTTTCGGGTATTGATAAAGTTCATAACTACTGGTATACGAAATTAACATGCCTACATAAAACTATAGCCAAAAACCTATCAGACATCATTTTTGCGAACATCCCCGAATTTATTGCTACAGATATAAAATACATGCTACCAAAGGGTAATTAAATAATAAAATAAAAAGTAATAATGAAATAATAGGCTTTTTACGTAATATCATGACATACTGGAAAACCACACTACAACTAAGCACCCGAAATAACTGCATCACAACAAGACAAATAGCGATCAAGAAAGGTATCTATCAAGGTATCTATCAACTCCTTGACTCCTGTGGTTCTGCCTTGCACTGAATCCACTATCTTAGCAGCTGTAAAGTAAACGGGCTGGATACCGTCTTAAACACAATAGCGATGAATCAATAATTTCACGTCTTATATATATGGATGACATTAAACTATATGCGCGGACAGAAAAAGAAATGAAAACACTAATAAAACTTATTACAGAATTTAGCAAGGACATAAATATGCAATTTGGACTGGGTAAATGTAAAATCATTCATTTAAGAAAGGGCAAGATCCGGCCTAACAACGATTTGTAATGTGTTTGTCATTGAAATCTATGTGTTTCGAATAGAGAAGTCTGTTAATTTTGTTTTATCAATGTTCAAAGTAAGTAAATGGGCATTCAACCAGTTTTTTACAATGTTGAGCAGAAATATAAGTTTCAATGCAAATATTCGAGTGAAACACAAGTGCTGTGTCATCTGCATAGGAGAAGATCATTCATTTAAAAGATTGATGCTACACAAGTCATTAATGTATACTAAAAACAAACTTGGGCCAAGAATACTACCTGCAGTACGCCGTAAGTTATTTGCAGGTCAGAACTACTATAAAAACCAATCCTAACACATTGAGTTCTATTACTTAAATAACTTTTGAATAGAGATAACTGAAGTCCTCTTACTTCCAAAGATTGTAGTTTGGAAATTAATATAGGTATAGAAACGGTGTCAAACGCCTTTTTAAGGTCAAACAGTGCGATACATTTTTGACGTATGTCAAGTTTCCTGACGACAAAATCAATAAGGCTATGGACAGCAACGTATTAAACGTGGTAGAGCCATGCTGCAGCTATATTAGTAGTATAGTTGTAGCACGAATGGGTCGGCTCGACCGGGGAAGCACCAAGCTCTCACAGAATACCAGCGTAAAATAGCAGCCTAACACTGCTGTGTTTCGTATGGTGAGTGTAGAGAACCGGAGACCCTTTTTACTGGAAAAGAGGCATTCCATCTTAGTCCTCACGGGTGATAACGCATCTGCATTTTGATTCGCAAACGAGGGTAGATATAGATGTCTATGGGCCACAACAGCCACTTACCATCAGGTGGACTGTGTGCTCGTTTGTCACCCTATCCTATAAAAAAAAAACATCAGACTTAGACAGGTTTCTTCGAAATACATTAAGGTGTTTGAAAATTTATTGTAAACAACCCACTTTTGACCTATTCCTAGTAGGAATAATCTTAAGTAACCGTCATTTACAGGGTTATCAATCACGTTGCACAGAGATTGAAATGGTTACGCCTATAGACGCCTATAGCATATCGATCCAACGACTATGGAGTCGTTGGGTCTGTAGACATAATATTATTATACTCGTACATTAGACATTGCAGATGATTATTTAGCTCTTAGTCGTTGTCTTTAGTTAATCTCTTCCTTTCCTGGTTTTTCCTGTGCGCTCCTCACGTTCGTTACCCCTATTCATTCCTCCGCGGTTTCATAAAAACTATACACGTAACTCTTTTAGACGTCGTTCCACCATCATGTATAACAAACATTTTTTAGAAATATATCTTTGAGCCCTAGTTCTAATCTTCTTAAAACAAATTTTAAAAAGTTTTTGCAGTAAAAATGTTACCCGACTAGTTATATTGTCTCATAATGTAAATAATATGGTTTGTTAATGTAGATTTATTGACACTATTTGGTCTTTTTTGTCACATGTAAATGTAAAATGTAAAGTATATATTAAGAAATATTATGACTGTCAGTTGCCAAAATAAATTTAAAAAAAATCTCTTTCTAAATCAAGAGGCCAATATCAAGATTTGATTTATATAGCTAGATGTTGGAGATAATATTATTCTGTGAAAGTTTTGTGTAACTGTTGTGGCAAATGAACTTTCAGTTTAATTGAGGGTGAAAAAAGGGCTACTGCAGCCAACTTACACCTACAGCCAACTTAAAACAAAAAAGACTCCAGATGCGTCTCAGCTTTGACTAAGATGGAATGCCTCATAGTCCGCAATCGTACTGACACTCTGTATCCTTTAGACCGGAACGCAGCAGTGCAAGCACTGATATTTGGCGGCAGAAATACAAGTGAATTTATGTCGTCAATATTAATAAGTAATAATCTTTATATCGCTCTACAAAATTACTGTTGAAACATTAATACTAAGTGACTTACAAATTAATGCTAGTTGTAGAGACTGGTGACAATACTAGGATTCCCTGTGCTACAGCCACCAGGTGATATTAGTGATTTTTATGGCGTCAAATAAATAATTTTTTATTTCTTTTTTCTTCTTAAATAACACTAGACAAGTATTTGTATTGCCCTGCTTGATATGAAATGTAAGTGGAGCTCCAATACATTGTAACCGTTAAAACGGGGTGCCTCAAATAGAGCGCGAGGCTCGCGGCATAAGGCACTTGCTCGAGAGTGCAAGTCATCCAGCAATAAGTGATTTCCAACACAGTGACGTGGCGTTTTTGTAATGGTTGTTTGTTTAGTGGTTCTACCTTACTCGTGTATCGACCTAATCATATATGCCCATAGTTTTGTTTTTATACGGTCGTTTCATTATAGAGTTCATGGGCGTGTGATGTTGGGCACAATCAAATTTGAAAGGAGACAGGTTATCGTCCGATGCTTTAGTAATTTCTTTCTGGCGCCAAGAGAGAGGTGTTGGCACTGCATTGAAAATTTTATCATTGAATACAATTGTTTGGTGTATATTCATTAATTTAATATTCGCTTACGTTTGCTTTGTTCGTTTCATCCCAAGCGGATTGGTTGCGTTTGGGGAACTAGAGGTTTGCGGAGTATTCTATGTTTCAGCTGTTACTTCGCTCTTTGTGGTTTCTAACATTTTGATAGAAATTCTGAATCAACAAAATAATAATATTAACCAAAACCTTGAATTTACATTGAGTTTATTCCAAACAGCTCCTTAATGTAATAATTATTACTTATACTCTTTTGTCTTAAATAGCGTCTTTGGTTTATAATAAAAAACTTATAACTTATAATTAAAATTGTTGGAATACTTATGATATTTAAGTCGTATAAGAAAGTTTATGCTTTACATTTTTAACGTACCTGACCTTGAATTTGATCCTTATTGTAGTTTCGTCGGAGTTGTGAACGAGAGTGTGAAAATACGAGTATATTGTTTCAAAGTGACTTGCTTTTATCTACATTTGTTTGAATAAAGAAAGAAAGGTGTAAGTGACTTTTATTCTTGAAAAACTCTTTCACCGTCAAACTCTGTCAAAGCTAACCACTTAATGTTACGTTTCCAGAGTTCATTATAATTTTTCTAAGCCTGTCCCACAGATCTAACATATGTATAGCTATCCCTAACAATATGTCAGAATGACACTGGCAACAGCGACCGACTCCGAGCGCCAAGAGCGTCAATAACAATAAAAAACTAAACTCGCTTAATAAGCCTCATCAATTCTCGAATGCTTTACATCAAACAATGTTTTTCCGAATTAAAAAAGAAATTGTGTTTTATTGTTTGGATTTATGTTTTTCCAGGAGGATATGAGCGTGTGGGTGTAATGCACCGGCCCTCGAACCGAGCGTGTTCTTTACGTAAAGACAGGGATAAATACTGTTCAGGCTGACTTTTAGATTTGTTCTCCAAATAACTTATTGGATTTTCAAGTCATCTGACCATTGCATTATTCTTTTTAACAAGAAATGGACTTCTTATTTTGTTTACATTTTCACGAATGGCGGGATGATATTAAGCTTAAAAATAATAATTATTGTTTAAATATAGTTAGCTTTGACGGAGTTTAGCGGAGGAAGAGTTTTTTAGGAATGACTGGGTGGCAAATACATTATTTTTTCATTTTATTAACCCTCTGTAACGTATGGTAGACTACAGGCAACATACCGTTTCACCTTTCCTAAATTCTCCAAGTAAAATTAATTCGTTTTTTCAAGCAATGTAGAATATTGTCTACACTCTCTTCTTTCAATTTAGTACAAGCATGTCAAACTAGATGTCGCTACTTGCCTCAAACAACGAAATATCGTTAGTGAAGTGAAAAGTTTCAAATGCTCAGAGTATGTTAAAAGACAAAAAATATAAAAAAATAGTTATTTTGTTTTTTGGTGTTTCTTTTCTTGATAATCTGTAAGGTAAGTGTTTATAGTTTACCATATTATTATATTTTTGCTGATAATTTACAGTTTTTATGTATTAGGTGACTATTAGTGTTTGTGTCTTGTAGGCTACATTGTGCGGAAAGGGGAACTATCTTGTACGAACACTGTGGATATTTACACTCGTTATTATTTTGTTTTAGCATGGCTCACCAAATTCACCTAAATGAAAACGAAATCGCCTGCGCACTTCAATGTGATTTAAGTGAAGATGGACTCGACTTAGATGACGATAGTTTGATGGATCCTGACTTTGAACCAGATTTTGAAGTGTCGATTGACGAATCTTTGGAAGCTGAATTCGACATAGATGCACTAGTAGACACCTTGAATGATGACGACCGTAACTCCAACTTTGAGGTAGAAGTAGGGCCGGCCTTATCTAGTTCAGACATTCCAGGTACTTCAGATCCCCCTGTAAAACGTCGAAAGCCTGAAAAGCTAACATTACGGTGGAAAAAGAAGAATTTAGAGCTGAATGCACAGCAGCTGGCTTTTACTGGCAATGAGTCATTGAGTTCTGATATCTTGGACCTTGATACTCCAATACAGTTCTTTCTTTTTTTATTTCCACCAGAACTCATAAAGAGAATTTCGGAAGAGACAAACCTCTACGTGGTACAAAAAGATCCAAACAGCACGTTTCGTGTATCGGAGACAGAAATGCGTCAATTTATAGGGGTAGTATATATGATGTCACTGATTCAGCTACCCAGAGTGACCAACCACTGGAGTTCCGTCTTGGGTACACCTGTAATTCAACAGACCATGCCTTCTAATAAATTTGAAAAGATTAGACAATATCTGCATTTTAATGATAACACTAAATGTCTACATAGGACCCACCCTGACTCCGATAGGATCTTCAAAATTCGCCCAGTCGTTGATGCCTTGAACGAATCTTATGGTAAAGTTCCATTAGAAAAACAACTTTGTGTAGATGAGCAAATTTGCTCTACAAAAGCGCGTAACATGCTGAAAAGGTATAATCCCAAGAAACCGCATAAGTGGGGTTATAAATTATATGTTTTGAGTGGTGTTTCCGGTTTTGCTTATACAATAGAGATTGAATCTGGCAAAGAGAATGTTGTCAGACCCGACGAGCCAGATTTAGGAGCTTCTTCCAATGTAGTAGTGAGATTATCGCGTATGATTCCGCGACACCAAAATTACAGGCTCTATTTCGATAACTACTTCACATCCTTGCATCTTTTGGAATATTTAGCAAAAGAAGGTATTCTTGGGCTAGGTACTATTAGAAGGAATAGAATACCTGACTGCAAGCTGTCGTCAGAAAAAGAGATTATGAAGAAAGATCGAGGATATTCTGAAGAGTACATAGCTGATGTCAACGGCGTCGACGTGTCAACGGTTGTATGGAAGGACAATAAGCTTGTTACATTGGCTTCCACATTTACTGGTCTAAATCCTATAAGCGAAGTCCGGAGATACGACAAAAAGAACTCAAGATACATAAACATCCCGCGACCTAATGTTGTGAGCGAGTATAACCGTCATATGGGCGGTGTGGACCTTGTAGATAGCATTATGGGCATCTACAAGATAAAACTGAGAAGCAAACGTTGGCAGATGCGTCTCTTCTATCACTTCTTAGACCTAACAATGGCTAATGCATGGCTGTTCTATAAAAGAGTCTGCAAGTATAAAAACATTCCCAACAAGACCATCATGGCATCTGCAGATTTTCGCCTGGAAATTGCCGAAACATTGTGCAAGATGGGGGTGAAAACGGGTTTAACAATACGCCGATCTATTGAAGGTCAAATCCTAGCAAAGAAACACAAAGGACCTGCCCAACATGTACCTCCACAAGCAGTCCGCCAAGATCAAGTCGGTCACTGGCCTCAATGGGCAGAAAAAAAAATCCGTTGTAAGTTCCCAAAGTGTGCTGGATTTACTCATACGGTGTGTGATAAATGCGGCGTAGCTTTATGTTATACCAAAAACAAAAATTGTTTCAGGAATTTCCATCTGTTGTAACTGATTTACATTCTTCTCAATTAAAGTGATATTAACTAATTTTTACTGTTGTAACTCATTGTTGCCTAGGAGCTACACTCCCTTTTTTGTAGTATTATGCTTGATTTATAAAAAATTACATAATTTTAAAAAATACGTATTTTATTAATTTCATAATCCTATCCGATTCCATGAAAAATATGTAATTTTAAGATTTTGAGTTATAGAGGGTTAAGGGTAGGTAGTTATATAGATACCAGTAACCACTATAATATAACAATAATTTAATTAAATTAAAATTAAATTAAATTATTTTAATTTAACAATACATTTTCACAATCTCATTTAACAACTCCGACGAATTCACAAATTGAAACGATATAAAATTTCATAAATTTGTAACTACTTTTATTTTAACTATAAGGATATTTATGACTATATATAAGCATATATTATTATTTAATTGAAAAAAGACCTTTATATATAACTATTTCTAGTTGGCTTAAACTGACGCAACCTTGGATTTGTTTATAGTTATTAAATTAACAATTGAGATATAACTTAAAAGCGTCTAATATTCATGAAATTCTTTTTTAAACAATATCAAGGCAAGAAACTGTAACGTCATATGTAACGATATAACAGTAGTTGAATCATTATTCACCTTCATATATTCTATTGTAAGTAGGATCATAGTTGCACAAAGCATTCCCCAGACTCCTAGCTGCGTCAACGCCCATAGTTGTGGGCATTGTGTTCGATCAAACTGGTCTCGGTTTGTTATTGCAAAACACGAAAGCATGCTAATTGAAATTCAGCATGAAAGGGATAATAAGGGTGGAGAGGACGGTGACGCCCGCAATCCGTCAGACGGCCGCGTTTGTGAGGATCGCATGACAAACTACCAGACCTACCGTGTGGTTCTTGATGCGTGCCTGCATCTAAACGATTTTGCTTATTTAGGTCAGGATTTCGGTACGAAAAACTAATAGTAATATTAAAGTCTGGTATAAACACGACCCTAAAATAACCTTTAACAAGTAATAAACTCGTTTTGAAGAATATTAAATTATTTGTGCGTAATACTACGATTAACTTCTTTTAACCTTTCACAAGTCTACTGCTATTCATAGGTCCATCGACGTCCTGCATGCCTTACAGGTCGTCACTCCATCTAGTTACAGTTAAAGAATCACATTAGTGGTTTACTACTAATGGCGACGCGATCAATTCATCCTTAAGCTTTCGCAAGTGCAAATTATTATATTATTATTAATTTATTATTAATTTATCCACTACTGCCTTAATAATTGAGATCATCATTTTACCTCGATTATATCTAAGTATCATTGCGACGATCTATCTCAAACAATCCGCTCAGATAGGGAGGTCTTGTGCTAACACAGAAACGTGGCTTCGGTTTTGATCTAATCTATATCTATCTAATCTATATATATTTTGATCTAATCTATATCTAAAAAACATTGTGACTAAAAATTATAAAATTCTAGCCATCCGCCCCGATTTGAATGGTGATTTCTGGATCTCGACAACAGCGACACCTACCGGGTCTAAATGTGAATCTAAACTATCTAGGGACTCATTCAAACACACACACGAAAAATTTCACTAAACCGGTCGAGCCATTTTCGAGTTTTTGAAACACTAACGGACACTCTATTGATTTTTATATATCAGATTGAAAATCTCTAATACGATTTAAAATTTCAGTACTATAATGCTGAAATTCGATTGAACAGCGTTCTTTAGTTTATCGAGGTTAGTCAATACTGAAAAGTAAATATTTTACAGTCTGAAACAATCGTTTCCGCAAAACGCAAATACTCACGTTTGAAAAACACACGAGCAACTTATTTAGGCGGCGTACTCTTTAGGTATAGGGATTTTAATTTGCCAAAATTGGCGCTATCGTACATCGGGGAGATGGGTGCGCAATTTACGAAACCCGGCCGGGGATACGAGGGAGAATCCTCGCACTTTACCATGGCACATTAATTAACCGAACCGAATCTACATACGGCGCGTATACGTACTGCGCCCACTGGTGGCAAGAGAGTAGATTTACGACTCGTTCGACCACCATCTATCCAATAAACTAATTGCAGTGCACGGCTATTGTTTCTAAACACTAGGCAGAAATAGAGCCTGCAGTGGCGGTTCAACCACCAATTGTACGCGGTCGGGACAATTATTCGATTGTCCTGTTGGTTCGCAGCGATCTTGGTGTCTGCGGGTTCGATGATAGATGGGCTTTTGCGCGGCTATTGAATTACGGCTATTTCACAGTTGACTGCAACTTGGGCATCTGAATGGAACGAACTCCGCCAATTAGGGGCAGCTTTAACATCGCGTCTTGTTTTATTTGTTTGGCGTTGTTTTGTGCGTAAAGGCGTACATTAGTTATTAACATCATTTATGGAGGGCTGCTTGGTTGCGATTATGTTACAGTTGAGATATCTTCTAAATTTATTTTTGTATCTTTCAATGACACAATCGCACTTTTGTAGCGAGAACTACTAAAAATATTAAATTAAATTAACGTCGTTTTATATAAATCTGTTCTAAGCTAGTTATTATAGTCTAGTTATTGGGAAGACGAAGTTATTAGAAGCGGATATATTAACATCGTCACTACACGGTCTAATTACTTTATATAGATGTTCAGTTACTATATGTATACAAATAGAATGTAGTATTCTAAGTCTATTTATATTAATTATACTTCTTGTACTATTATTTATTGTGATAATACTATGTTTGAATTTTCGCAATTACGTTTAGCGCTAACTTTATTTCAAAGTTTGTGTCATTTATTAATAACATATTAGCCGTTCATCTTGAGTAACCGTTTAGAATGAATCCTTCTTACGACTTGCGTACGAATCAAAGAAGGGAAATGCTTAATTTATTATGAACACATTCTATTTAATTGATAGCACTGAAAGATATCATCAGTCCACACATTAGAACTAAATAAATAACGTACAGCAAAAGACTAGACTAGAATAAATAGATTACCAGTACATATCTGACCATCCGATTACAATGTGGGTGTCTTTAAGGCAAGAGTGAATAGGCTTTTGTCAAGCTTAGTCCATGCCCTTTAGCATCTTTAGCTACATCAGCACTTACTATTCGTTTGTATGGGACAATAGACAAGCACTGGTGTTTAATATTGTATTTAATTGTGTGTTAGGATTTTTAACCTGTAGGACGAGAAGTATGAATTAGCCCCGCATGAAAATGTCTGTTTCATTCATGGATTTCTTAAGAGTTGGCGTAAAATTAAAAAAGAACAAGGGAAAGAAAATGTCTTATTTCTTCGCGTAAGTATAGTTATTTATACGATGTTGGTTAAAATCCTGGGATAGCCTGGAAAGTTGTGTATATGACGTTGGCAAATATCTTCCGCAAGGGCGGTGGCGATGTGCGACGTGCGGGAGGGTGGAGGCGCATGTCGCCGCGATGGCCGCCGGCGTACACGCGCCCGTTCCCTACAGTACCTAGTCCGCTAAAGATATTTCGCCAATTTTCGCCTCCCGTCTAGAAATTTAAGCGCTACACGACTGAGTGATTGTTGTTATGTTATGAAACGATTCTCCACTTCCATATTGGAAATTTAACGCTTATAAAAATGCAGCATATTGCAAAAATAAACATTTGCACAGAAAATCTTTAATTGGTAGTTTTAACTGGACTGTTATGTTGATATGATAAAAAATTGCACTATGTTTTCAGCTTAATTTTATTTTTCATTTTAGAAACAAAGAAAATAAGTTTATTTAGTAACACATTTTAGAAGTTTGCTTACAATAATAATATATTATACGTTTGATGATAAATCTTTATATATAAAAATTACGTGTCACGTTGTTTGTCCGCGATGGACTTCTAAACTACTGAACTGATTTCAACGAAATTTTGTACACTGTGTGCATTTTGGTCCAACTTGAGAGATAGGATAGTTTTTATCCCGATAAATGAGCCTCAAAATTTTTTATTGCGAATTTAAGGATTTTTATAGGACACAGGGTCGTCGGAGAGGGCAGAACAATGTCTGCCTGGCGAGCTAGTGGTTACTAAAAGGGTACCCAACTCAGCATAGCTTTGGAGTACCAAATATATATATATATATATATATATATATATATATATATATTCAGAAGGAACTTGTTAGGGTCATCAATCACTTTGTTTCTCCACGGCCCTCCATCTTAAAATGCTTAAATCCTAAAATAACACTAAAACCGCGCTTGACGTAAACGGCCTATCCAGCTAATCCTCGAAAACGTTACAGGCGTCAACTTGTCTCAATTCGCTTTCATCTCGATCTGTACGCTCTACGTAGACATTTATTCAACGACAAAAATAATTATAACCACGAAGCGGTAGGCAGAGCTCGAGAAACTCCGTTAAGCCACTACAATTCGTTTGCGGCGGCAAAGAGCGCCTTGTAAATCAAAGGGATTCTAACATAATTAAGCTCATAATTAATGTAGACTCCTTTATTTATAGACAAATTCATTATTAAAATCGTTCCCGTTTTGATAATACGCCCTCTATGAGATACGTCTAACACGTGTTAATAGATAATGGAATTTAGGAGTTGAGATAGCGCTGTCCGGTGTATAAAATATGACATTCAGTACAAAATCATAAAACTCAACACGATCAAAATTATGATGCGCTTAAAAATTATCACTCGAGAATTATGTTTCCTACGAAATTATAATCGTAACATTGCTAGACAGGAAGCATGTTGTAAGCGAAGTATAAGCTGCCTGCCTGATTTACAGCTCACGCGTCTTAATATTTTTTCGTAAATACAGTAATGACACCCCGGAGCCGTTCCTCATGGAGCCCCGCTTCGCCAACGTCGGTTTTAAAAGATGCCCGCCGCTGCGGGACCGACTCGCTCCCTATTAATTTGTTTATATTAGAGTTGTTCACTTGCGCAGTCAATCACGAGTGTCGTCAACCGCCCGATACACGATTTGTTT